GGTAAGTTTAAAATTAAATTAAAAAGAAAATAATATTATAGGTATTATACGGTATTTTATTGGGTGACTTTGTACCGTAACTGTAAGTTTAGTTGTATTTATATAATATATACAATAATATACGTCCAGATAAACAGGAAGGCACAATACTGTAGCAAATACACAAGAACATAACGTAACAAAATAAATAATACCTATTTATATTAAATTCTAATATTTGTTTGATGCTAAAAGTGAAGGTGGTTCAATTAGAATATTTTTGATTGGAAGCAAGATAAAGATACTTCATATTCATGCTCGTCAGTTAAACTTTATTGCATGAAGTTCACTGTATATTACAGGTGAATATTTTAGAGTTTAAAAGAATATTTAATCTGAATTTCTCCAATCACTTGCTCAAAATTCAATCAACAATCAACGTGACTCAGCGACTCACGTGCATCATAATTTCAATATACTCATACCAAATTTGATTATATACTATTACTATAACTAATAGTGCAACATGCTAAAAACTTCAGGAATTTAGTGTGGCTTTATGTATGTATGACATACTAATATTCTAGAAGCCATAAATTTTTCATAAAAATCTTAGAAATAAAAGGTATTCAACATTAAACTTGCTGATTCAATTTGTGATATGACTAAATTAAATGATATAAAACCAAAATGTGTGATCTATCTATTAATTTATCCAACAAATGTCAAATAACTAAATTATAAACGACCGAACAGTTAACGAATTGGATCTCTAGTTAAAAAAATGTAAGAAAAATTTAAAAGTTAAACGTTAAACATGACAAGATAACAATTGCATAACATGAGCTACTCAGTACAAACACATTTTTAATTACCTGTTATAATAGGTTTTCGGATTTATTATTTCATAAATATAATAATAATCAGATAATACCATATTTGGTTTAATTGTTATTAAGCTAGGAAATTAAAACGGAAATCAATGTTGATTCATCAAAAATCGTGTGCCGCAGCATCACGTTAAACCCAATTTGAAATAAAGGAAAAAAAAGTAAAAATATTAGTAAGTTAAAAATTCTGCGCCAAAACTGAACCAAATCTTCCGATCCTAAGAAAAAAACACGAAAAAAAATTTAAAAATAAAAAAAAAAATAAATAAAAAAATCTGTCCTTAAAAAACTGGAATAAAATATTATTAAAAAAAAAAGAGGAAAAGAAGAAAATCTTAATTTTCTGAAAAGTAAAAATGAATATTTTTAAGATATTAAAATTTAAATAAAATAATTCAGTTCAAAAAACCGAAAAGAAATATTTTTTTTTTTAAATACTATTCTTGTTCAAAAAAAACTGAAAGGGAATAAATCTTAAAAAATCATTTTAGTTCAATAAATTGGAAAAATAATTTAAAAAAATGAATAATAAAAAATAATGAAGAAAAAAATTCCGGATCCAAAAAAAAAACTGGAATAAAAAAAACAAGAAATTTTTAGTCTTAGTTCCAAATGAAATAAAAAAAAATTATCATAATTGTAAATCGTTCGAACTTTATACAGTTTTCGTACAACTCGCATAATAATACTAGTTAAATGTTTACATACCTCATTTAGAAAATTACTGGAATATTCTGAGAATTATTTAAACATTTTAAAGCCACTGATTCATTTAATTGTATATCTTTATGATCAACTAATTTTTAATTGCATTTCTTGAATCAATCTATCAATATGTTTATTATCTATCACTGGTCCAGTTTGTAAAATTTCATTCAAATAACTTTCTTACATCATTTATATTCTGCATTTACATATTTATTAACATACTTATCACAAAACAATTTTAAAAATTGATTTATCAATAAATAGTAATTACAAAATTTGTCATTCAATTAAAAATTTAAAAGTATTAAAACATATTGTTATTTTTCAAAATTAAATATTTAAACATTAAATTTTTATGTTGGTAAAGATGATAAAATAGTAAAATTAATTATACGTGCTTATAAACTAAAAAGTACTGACAGAGTATATGTTCAAGAAAGAAAAAATATTATAAATCGATTTATGCTTTCTTGTGGATCGCTAATAAGACGTAAAGAAAGGGGCCTAAAAGAAAAAGACCTAATAAAGAAAAGACCTAGTCAGAGAGAAGATAGACCTAAAAAAAAGAAGACAAAAAAAAATAAGTTAAAATACCACACACACACACTCCCGCACTCCCAACCTACACTCCCACACTCTCACACTCCCAACCACACGCCCAACCCGCACTCCCACACCCACACTCCCAACCCACACACCCACACTCCCACACTACACTCACAACCCGCACTCCCACACCCACACACTCACACTCCAAACCCACATACCTAAAGAGAGACGTAAAGAAAAAGGGTCTAAAAGAGAGAAGATAAACCTAAAAAA